GAGGGATTGGCCAGGGATGCTCGTGATGACCCCTTGCCACCACTGAATGAAGGACAGATTGAATCGATTCTTAGACGACAATCGCCAAACAAAGCTAGAGGAGTTGATGGCTTGGGCCCAGTTGACCTTCAACGCATGCCTCAAGCTGGACTGTCTGAGCTCACGTGTATCCTCAATCAAGCGGAGCTACTGCAAACTTGGCCGACAGCGTGGTTAGCTACTATTTGTGCAGTTATTCCGAAGCCAGCTGGAGGCACGAGAGTACTGGGCATGTTGCCGTGCTGCAAGACGTGGAGTCAGGCGCGCAGTTCGGTCACCTCCAGTTGGTCAGATGGACTTTCTGCTTTCTGGGACACGGCCATCAGGGACAGCAGCGCCCTGAGAGCCGCGATGACGAGAAGCCTCATGGATGAGGCCTCTGCTACCACAGGCAAGGCAACGGCGACGGTCTTGCTGGACATTGCCAAGTTCTACGACTCCATCTCCTTCACCCTCCTGGTGGTGGCGGCGCGGGGGCTCAACTTCCCTCCCACGGTGCTGCTCATGGAGATCCTGCTCTTCATGGCGCCGCGCATCCTCAAGGAGGGCTCGGTCATCAGCGAACCGTTCTGCCCAGGCCGCTCGATTGTGGCTGGATCGTCGCATGGAGTCTGCCTTGGAAAAGTGTTCTTGCATTCTGTGCTGGAGGCTGCGCACATTCGAGCCCCTCAGGCCTCGTTATGGACCTTCGTCGATGACACTGTGGGAAGATCTGAGGGCACCCAGGCCACTGTTGTTTCTGAGATGGAAGGTTTAGCTGAAGCTTTCTCGGAGGGATTCAGACTCAAAAGGCTCACTGTCACGGACAAAACGGTTGTCTTGGCGTCCTCTCCTGAGCTAGGTAAGCACATTGCCAGAATTTTCAGAGCCCGAGGGATGCCCGCTAGGTTTGCTTCCGTTGGAGTTGATTTAGGTTTAGACACTGCGGCAGGACGTTTTCGGACACGGAAGAAGGCACGCCAGAGAATGACTAAAGCCAGCGGGCGTTTTTCTAGGATTGTGAAGATGCGCAGGCTGGCTGGTTTGAGGAAAGTCACCCAGGGCGCTTGGCGCACGGGAGCCTTACCACAGGCCAGCTTTGGCCATCAAGTTTATGGTATGCCACCGAGTCAGGTCCTGCTTCTTAGGCGACAAGCTGCTCGCACGGTCTCGGGAATGGGCAAGGGCAAATGATTAACAACTGTTCTGCAGACGGTGCTGGGGGATGGAGATCCCGCCCTGGAAGTGCGCCGCCAATTGGTGGACGCCTGGCTGCAGCTGTGGAAGCGCTTCCCCGCCCTCCAGCCTCGAATTCGACGGTCGTGGGGTATCGTTCGGTCGCAGCTCGATTCGCTTGGCGCCAAAAGGTGGAGAGGCACTCGGGGGCCCATAGCTGCAGTCCAGGCCACCCTTCTTGAAGCAGGATGGGAGCCCAGGGAACCTGACCTGTGGGAGCGACCCGATCATGCGGAGCATGCGTGGAGGTTCCCACGAATGGGCGACCCAGATTACGATTTACTCCCGATTTCTGACCATGCAGACTTGTTGCATGAGTTTGTTTCCGATATGAAGGCTAAGTTGTGGCAAGGTGCTGCAGGGCACGAGGCAGGCGACAGTTTGAAAGAAGGAGCCGATCTCCTCCCCCTGCAGCAGGAACTCCGTCGCTTCGAGTCTCGGGGTCAGGCGGGCCTGTGGGGCCTCACCATGTGCGTGGCCTCGGGGGGCCAATGGCCACGTCAGCGCCAAGCCGACAGTGGCTACACGGTTGACGTAACTTGTCCAAGGTGCAAGGCGGCCCCTGAGACCTTGTTTCACAGAATATGGCAGTGCGCGTGTAATGTAGATCACCAAGATTTTAGCAGCACGCAGTCACTGATTTCCCAAGCCACGGCGCAATGGGAAGCAGACCCTTCTTTATGGCTGAGAGGAGTCCCGTCGAGAGACCTCACCTGCCCCGTCTTCCTTGACCCTCTTGAGGCCCCTCCTCTTACGTACTACGGCTCCTCTCGCCTCAGCGAGTTTTGTGTTGCCCCTGGCCAGGACCCTCCCCACATTTTTGGAGATGGGTCCGGGGGGAAATACAGCAGTGACCCGAGACGCAGGCGCTGTGGCTCTGGAGTTGCCCTCATTCGTCGGGCTGAGGATGGCTCCTGGGAGCCGGTCGCGGGTGTCTCTTCCCCCCTCCTGGGGCCGCGGCAGACCGTGTCGCGCGCGGAGATAGCTGCGCTCGCAATCGCTCTGGAAGAAACCACGGGACCCATCATTTATATCACTGATTGCCAGCCTGTCCTGGATGGTTGGAGAGCAGGTCGAGCCCACGGCAAGCTAGGCCCGAATCAGGACTTGTGGTACAGGGTGGCGGTGGCGTTGCGTAATCGGGGGGGGGCTGAAGTGCAGGTCGTGTGGACGGCTGCCCATCTAGAAGACACAGGCAAGGCGCTCAGTGCTTGGCAAGTTTTCCTCACTGCTGGCAACATGTGCGCTGATGACCTAGCGGGTAAAGCGGCTGACGAGGCCTTGCTCCTGTATACTCGCAAGCCTGCCCCCAGTACTGACATCTATGATTGCATCGCCCACCTTGTCAGACGCAGGGCCCGACGGGCGTTGCAGTGCTCACTCCAGGTTGACCCTTGGCAGGCCACAAGGCTCGCCAAAGTGCGGGTGCCCCCTCCCTCCAGGAAGGCTGCTGCCCTGAGGGACACCTCTCATGATTGTGAGCAGGTCGGGAGCAGGTGGCGCTGTAGGGTTTGCAGTCAGATTGTGGCTTCCACCCAGCTCCTCAAGTTTTGTGCTCAGTCTTGTCCAGGCCTGGCCCCAGAGATCCGAGGTCAGAAGTCGGAGTGGAGCCAATTTGTCTTGAGGACTGGAGAGATTTTGATTGGGGCCACCTCGGCCCACTCGTCCCACAAAATCTTCTATTGGCCTGAGTTTTCCCTGCATTTTTGTGTTTGTTGTGGGCTGACCGCCACAGTGGATGGTAGGTGGCTCGCACGTCCCTGCCAGGAGCCCTCCCCCAAAGGTGCCCAGAACCTTGACAGGATTCGTCGAGGCATTTTTCCTTCGCACAGGGGACCCCCGAAGGCGGTGCAGCTGGCCAGAGTGCAGCGTGAAGCTTCGGACGCGGTCCAGCGTGCGAAGGAGGCTCGGGAGGAGAGTGGAATGCAGCTGCCCCTTTTCTGTGTGGGAGGTGAGGGTGGAGCGGCTCGCCGACCCACCAGGATCCCTCACCGTGAAGGCGGGGACTCATCGTCGGATTAGTCCCCGCCTAACCCGTTTAGTTTTGCGGACGCTCGTCCTTTCATGGTCACTCTGGTCACTCCTCCTCCTCCTTCTCCTCCTCCTCCTCCCCGGCTCCTCCTCCTCCTCCTCCTCCTCCTCCTCCTCCTTCTCCTCCTCCTCCTGCTCCTCCTCCTCATCCTCCTCCTCCTCCTCCTCCCCCTCCTCCCCCGCTCCTCCCTCTCCTTCAGAGACCCGACGTTCCCGGAAAAAATGGAGCGGGTTTGGGGGGCAATTCTCGGCCTCCAGGGGCCCTCGCCGGGCCTCGCGGGGCCGTCCAGAAGCGGCTGGGGCGCGCAAAGCCGTGCAGGGAGGTGGTCCGGACCTCCGGGGCCCACGCATCGACAGAGATTGGAGCAGCCGGATGTCTGGGCCTCCCTGATTCCAGATCCGCCCTACTTCTGGGTTTTTTCACCTATAAGAAGCCGACAAGGTAGGGCGGAAATTTATGCACCCAACATAAAATAGGGCGGAGATCCACGGAAGTAGGGCGGAAACAGCCACAGAAAAGTAGGGCGGAAATTGGCATCAGCGGGGCTGAAAAGTAAGGCGGAAATTCCAAGCCTGCTTACGAATTTCCCCAAAGTAGGGCGGATCCGGAGTCAGGGTGGTCCAGACCTCCGGGGCCCACGCATCGACAGAGATTAGAGCAGCCGGATGTCTGGGCCTGGGCAACCCACGAGCGGGTGCCCAGACAGTCCCTTCTGGGCAACCCACGGGGCCCACGGGCGGGTAGCCGCGGTGCTATTGGAGCTCAGATCCAGGACGTGACGACGACGCGCTCCCATGGTGTGGTTGCCACAAGTCGGTCGGGCCCCGAAGTTTTGTACTGCTGGGGCCCCGAGGTTTCGTGCGAGCTCCAGGTGGCGAGGCCCGCCAACTCGTGGCGAGGGGGTCTCCGATCCCGTCATCGGAGTCGGACCCCATCATCGGAGTCGGAGGTCTGGAGTCCCAGATTTTTTTTTTCTTGATTTGCTCAGTACGTTGGAGGTCTGGAGTCCCAGACCTCCAGCGTACTGAGCAAATCAAGACCGAGGTATTTCGTCGTTTGCGGCGTCTGGGGGCCCATCGCCGGGCCCCGGGAGCGTGACAGCAGCATCCGGTACGAAAGACCGTTCCCCAGGCAGTGGTCCAGAGCTCAGAGGACCCCGCAGTTAGAAAGCATCGGGGCATCGGAAGTCTCAGCCTGGCGCTGTGCTGTTTCCAATCCGCCGTCCCACAGCTCCTGGCCCCTTCTCTGCAGACATCGGGCGTCTCAAAAAAATCGAGACAGAGGTTTTCCATGGTTCTTGGCCTCTCGGGGCCCTCGCCGGGCTTCGGGACCGTCAAAAAAAACGACTCGGGATGAAAAACCGGTCCCAGGGAAGTGGTCAGGATGTCGGGGGCCCGCGTCTCGAAAAAATCGAAACGTCGGATGTATGGGCCCCTAGATCCTAGATCCACACAGTGCTCCAGACACGAGGGCCGCTGGCCGCTCCAGAACTTCTCGGGCGCATCCGCAGCAAATCGTAGCACGGCATCCACCCAGACATCCGACGATGCGTCTTTTGCAGCCCGGGGCCCCCGAGCGCCCGACCTCCTTCCTCCGGGGGCAGTGCCCTGGACCCGTTTCTGACGGCCCGGGGGGCCCGAGGACGGCCTTGTGGGGCCGATCTCGGGGAAGAGCCGTGGGATTATTTCAGCAACATGCCGTCGGAGATCTCAAGGTATGTCTCGCTGGACCGGCAGAAGGTGTATTTTTTCGGCATCATCGACGTGCTCGAGCACTACTCGCTGCGCTGGCGGGCGCAGCACTGCCTGCTGACGGTGGCCTACCATGTCAGGGACAGGCTGAGGTGCCGTGCCGTGGCCGCGGACGGCATCTCGGCCATGCACCCGCGGGACTACGCCAACCGCTTCTACTGCTTCGTGGAGCACGAGGTCCTTCGATGTTCGTTTGGGGGACCTTCCTGGGGCCCACCTGACGGATCTGCTCGACTCTGGTTCTCTAGTTCGAATCTGGTCCGACTATAGTTTGACTCGAGTCTCAAGCTCGTCCGACCATCTTGATTTTTGTTTTTGCTTATTCTGGTATTTACCAGCCCCAGGCTTGGAATTCGATGGTCCCTGCTCGAAGTCCAATCGAAAATCTGTCGTATTTAAACCGTTGATCAATTCAGAGTGTTCACTGTAACCACCTCCCTGGACAACATGTCGATGAGAATCCACAGCTTCTTTCTCCAGTCGACAGACGTTTGACGCAGCATCGACGCACGAGTGGAGCGAGCTGCTCCAGAGGAAGGTCCACGGAACGAGCGCCGTGCAGAGGTCCTCCAAGCCACCGCCGCCGCGGCAGCGGGTCCGACCCTCGAGCGGCCCCGCTGCTGCTGCTGCCTGGGGCTGGACAGACTCGGCGGCAGGCTCCCCCGGGGCCCGACGCCGTGGGCAAAGTCAGTCCTCCTCCTCCTCCTCCTCCTCCTCCTCCTCCTCCTCCTCCTCCTCCTCCTCCTCCTCCTCCTCCTCCTCCTCCTCCTCTGGTCTCCTCCTCCTCCTCCTCCTCCTCCTCCTCCTCCTCCTCCTCCTCCTCCTCCAGCTCGAGGAGCAAACTCCCGGCAGAGGGCCGCAGGTTTCGGAGGCTCGCGCGGACATCTCCGGTCGGCGCCAGGCCCCCCCCCCCCAGTGGCAGCGCCTCTTCTGCCGCCCCTGGCGCGCGGCGCGCGACGGGGGGGGAGGTCCGCCGCTGGCCCCGTGGAGCCCCGCGGACGCCCGACAGCACACGCTGATGGCCAAATGGCCTGCCGTGGCTCCTCGAGCGTCGTGCGGAGTCTCGGCCAGAGCTGTCCCCCCCCCCCGTCTCCCTGCGGCGCTTCTCGAGCCGCGCCGCTCCGCGAGGGGCCCCGGGGGCCCGGCGAGGAGGGAAGGTGCCCGCCGAGACTATGGCTCACAACGCTCGGGCGGCGGCGGCGGCGGCGGCTGCGAAGACGACGACGACGACGACGACGACGACGACGACGACGACGACGACGACGACGACGACGACGGCGGCGGCGGCGGCGACGACGGCGACGGCGGCGAAAGCGGCGGCGGCGGCGACGGCGACGGCGGCCTCCGCTGCTGGAGATCTCTGGAGGTGCCCAGGGCGTCCCGCAGAGGCCCGGCGGCGTCCCCCAGAGAGGCCAGGAGAACGGCTGCCGACACTGGCCCTCGACCCTCGCAGCTCGAAGCGCGCTCGGCCTCGACCTCTCGATCCTCGAGATCCCTCGAGATCCTCGAGATCCCTCGAGATCCTCGAGCCCTCGAGCCCTCGAGCCCTCGAGCCCTCGAGCCCTCGAGCCCTGAAGCCTCGAGCCTCGAGCCTCTTCTGGCCCTTGAGCCCCACGACCCTCCAAGCCTCGAAACCCCTCGAACCCCCTCGAAACCCCTCGCGCCTCGCGCCCTCGCTCGAGCCCTCGAGCCCTCGATGCCCCTCCAGGCTCGAGCGCAGCCTCAGCCCGCGCAGCGCGGGCACCCACGACAGCACCCTGCGCTGGCGGCGGCTCTGGCAGCGGCGGCGCCGCGGCCTGGTGCGCGACCGGCTCGAGGCGGCGTCCCTGGACGCGGCGCGGCGGTTCCAGGACCGAGGGGCGGGCAGGCAGGGGACCCAGACCCCCTCGAGTAATGAAAAAGTCATGACGGGAGGTTTTTCACAATTTTCGGCCTCTGGGGGCCCTCACCGGGCCTCGGGAGCGTCAAAAAACGACTCGGGATGACAAACCGGTCCTGGGGAAGGGGTCGAAAACTCTGGGGTCGACGTATTGAAAAATTCATTACGTCGGGGGTCTGGGGAGGCAGGTCCGAGGCGAAGATTGATCCATATCCACCGCCTGGAAGGTCAGTGTTCGGAGCCTCGGCAGGCGGTGGAGAAGGACATCTTCGGACCCCCGGGGGCGGGCAGGCAGGGGAGGAAGGGGTGCCGATGCCGCTGCTCGTCCTGGAAACCCAGACATCCGGCGTCCCGATTTTTCGGGGCACGGGCCCCCGACCTCTCGACCGCTTCCCCGGGACCGGCTTTTCATCCCGAGTCGTGTTTTGACGGCCCCGAGACCCGGCGAGGGCCGAGGGCCCCGAGAGGCCAACAAAAACTATGAAAAACCTCCGTCTCGATTTTGTCGAGACGCCCGACGTCTGGGAAGGGGGGGGGGGGGGGGGGGGCGTCCAGGGGGGCGCAAGTCGCAGACGGCGGCACGTGCGCGGCCCAGCCGCCAGCGAGCTCCCTGCTGGCCAGGCGTGCTCGCCGCCAGCGTGCCTGCTGCCGTCGGGCGCGGCCCTGCCCTCGGCCCCTGCCTGCCCTGGAGGGACACGCAGCGGTATACACCGCCCCCTCCCCGGGACCTCTCTGGGACCTCTCCAGGGGTGCGCCCCGAGACCCGACTCGCAGGCAGGAGCCGGCCGCGGCGACGAGGGCTTCCCAGACATCGGGCGTCTCGAAAACATCGGAGGTCCGCGCGGATTTCTCGGATCGGCGCTGGGCCCCCCCGGCAGCGCTTCCGGCGCCGCCCCTGGCGCGCTCCACGCGCCAGGGAGGGGGGTCCGGCGCCGATCCGAGAAATCCGCGCGGACCTCCGAGTTCTTATGTTTCTGCCGCTTTTTGTCCCCCTAGTATGCTTGGGGGGGGGGGAAGAAAAAGAAATATATATATATATATATATACATATAACGGTCCAGCTCGGAGCCGCGAACTCCGCGCGGGCCTCCAGCAGCGTGTGTTTTCCTGCCGCTCCCTCTGCCTCGAGCGGCGCCAGGCCGCCGGCGCAGCGGCCCCGGGGCAGGGGCCCGTGCACCTCCCGGGGGGGCCGCCGCGCACCGTACGTGCACGGCGGCGGGGGCCCCGGAGCGCAGCAGGGGCCCCCGATCCTCGACCTCGTGTCCGGTGCGAGGGAGGAAGGGCCACACCGGACCGGGGAGGAGGAGGAGGAGGAGGAGGAGGAGGAGGAGGAGGAGGAGGAGGAGGAGGAGGAGGAGGAGGAGGAAAAGGAGGAAAAGAAGGAGGAGGATGAGGAGGAGGAGAAGGAGGAGGAATGAGGAGGAGGAGGGGGAGGAGGAGGGGGAGGAGGGGGAGGAGGAGGAGGACAACTGGCGATCACGAAAGTCCAGTAAGCGCCACTTGTCCGGTCCGTTAAAGACGGGCCTGGGCCGTTTAAGACGGGCCAGGGCCGTTGAAAACGGGCCTGGGCCGTTGAAAACGGGCCTGGGCCGTCTAAAGTCTAGTTTGCCAAGCGCCCAGGGCCGTTTACTAAACGGCCTTGGGCGCTTGGCAGACAGCCCTGCCCTGCTCGGTGCCTTCCATAGGGGGCGTTCCGTAGACGGCCTCGCTCGTCGGGGTGCTGCTTCTTATGGGGGGGGGATCTTCCTGCCCTCTGCTGGTGGGGCCTGTTCGCCAGACCCCCGACGTAATGAAGTTTTCGTTACGTCGACCCCAGAGTCCTCGACCCCCTCCCCAGGACCGGCTTGTCATCCCGAGTCGTTTTTTGACGCTCCCGAGGCCCGGGGAGGGCCCCCAGAGGCCGAACATGGCGAAAAACCTCCCGTCATGATTTTCTCATTGCTCGAAGGGGTCTGGTTCTGCCGCTCGGCCCTCCCGCCCGGAGGAGCTGGAGGCGCAGCTCGCTGCCAGCGCCCGGCCCTCCCTGTGCGACGCCGGCGACGGGCGCGGCGCCGCCCCGGAGCGCAGGGCGCCCCCCTCCGGCAGGGGCGAAGAGCCTGCCGGGCAGGGGGGGGCCGCCGCCGCCGCCGCCTCGGCCTGCTCCCGCCGCCGCCTCGGCCTGCTCCCGCCGCCGCCGCCGCCTCCCGCCGCCTCCGCCGCCGCCTCCTCCACCGCCCGCTCGTGTGCCTCCCCCCCTCCTCGCCCTCCTCTTGGTTCTGGTGCCCCGCTCCAGCTCTTCGTCGTCGTCGTCGTCGTCGTCGTCGTCGTCGTCGTCGTCGTCGTCGTCGTCGTCGTCGTCGTCGTCGTCCGCATACGGTCACTTACTGCGCACAGCTCACGCTGCAATCAGCACGGAGGTAGATGAGATCGGCACCTGCGGCGCCTCGTGCTACTTGCGTTCCTCCCCTTCCTCCCTCCTGGTCCTCCTCCCTCCTCCTGCTTTCCTTGTGTCGCTTATTTCCAATATTATTATCAGTTACCGTATTCTAACTCTTGTTATTCGGATTAGGATTATCATTGTTAGCCATAACAGTTTTTATACTATTATTAGTATGTGTACGATTTTCATTCGTATGATGGGGATGGCCATCATTAGTTTCCTGGTTGGCATTCTTACTCATAGTCTGACTCGTTGTATTATCTGTAGTTTTATGATTAGTTGTGTAAGCCGTAGTATTGCGAGTGTTATAATTCGTATAGTCGTATCTATTTTAAATTGTCGCATTAGCATTTGTATTCGTATTAGCATCATGATTACTGTTCCTCCTCCTCCTGATCCTAAAGCGACAGCAAAGGGCGGTTGGCTCCTCCCCCTCCCCCTCCCCCTCCTCCTCCCCCTCCTCCTCCTCCCTCCCTCCTCCCTCCTCATCCTCCTCCTCCTCCTCGTCAGCCTCCTCCTCCTCCGTCTCCTCTTCCTCGTCCTCCTCCTCCTCCTCCTCCTCCTCCTCCTCCTCCTCCTTCTCCTTGTCCTCGTCCTCCTCGTCGTCGTCGTCGTCCTCCTCCTCCTCGAAAAGTTATCCTCACCGTTGTCATTATTTCCCCTTGACTGTTTCCTTCTATGGACAGTGAGCCTCCTCCTCGAGCCCCCTGTTTTTTCTGCTTTTGTTCCCCCGCTCTCGCCCATGCCTTCTCCTCCCTTGGAGGCCCCAGCAGAGCGAGGTCCCCGGAGGCCCTTGTGGAGGCCCTCCCCGAGGCTTCCCCAGAGGCCCCCCGCGGAGCCCCGCGGAGGCTCGAGCTTCGGGGGCCGAGCGCGCGCAGGAGCCGCGCGCCTCGCGCCTCGACCCTCGCTCGCGGCCGCCGCCGCCGCCGCGGCCGCCGCCGCCGCCGACGCCGCGCCGCGCAGGACGACCCCGAGGGCCTGGCCGCCGCGGGCGCGCCCCCGCGCGCCGGCCGCGCGCGCCCCGGCGGCGGCCCGCCCCCGGCGGCGCGCGGGGCGCCGCCGTCGCCCAGGCGGCGCTCGGCGAGCGGCGGCCTCGGCGAGCGGCGGCGGCCTCGGCGAGCGGTCGCGGCCTCGGCGAGCGGCGGCGGCCTCGGCGAGCGGCGGCGGCCTCGGCGAAGCAGATTGGGGGAGCAACGAGAGCGGCTGCAGCGGCGAAGACGATCGCGGCGGCGGCGGCGGCGGCGTCGGCGGCGTCGTCGGCGTCGTCCAGGCGCCAGAGCGCGGTTTCCTTCGCGAGCGCCGGCGAGGGCGGGGAGGGCCAGCCCAGGAGCGCGCGGCTTGCAGGGGCTTCCCCTCCCCCTCTCCAGCTTTCTGGTTGGCTGGGCCGTCGACCGCCCTCGGTCGCTTCCCGGACTCCGGGCGCGATTCCGTGTGCCACCCCAGGGCCTCTCGTCGGCGTCAGCAGCTTCCCGGCTCGGCCTCGTGAGGCTTGCGCCCCGTCGACGCGGCGGCGACCCGGGCGCGGGATCTCGAGGTGGAACGCCGCCCCTCCCCGAAAAGCCTCCCCTCGAAGGCGCCCGTGACCCAGCATCGTATGACTTGTAGCGCCCCGTCAAAAGGCCCCTTCGAGGGAAGGCCCCGTCGAAGGCGCCTCGAAGGCGCCTTCGAGGCGCCTTCGAGGCGCCTCGAAGGCGCCCGTGACCCAGCATCGTATGACCTGTAGCGATCTGTGCCATCGGAGGGCCGCGATCGTTCAGGGTTGAGCAATCCGCGCGGGGAGGCCAGGCAGCGGCCCCCAGCGTCGTCACGGCACGAGCCTCTCCGCATGGGCTTCGCCAGCGCTTCTTGCTCTCTGGTGCTGGGTCGGCTTTTTCTGTGTTGCCCATCCTGTGGCGGCGCTCAGCCCTCTTCTTGAGGGCTCGGCCTCCAGCACGTGCTTGCGCCCGTCCGGCGCCTGCTGGAGGGTCCGCGTGGCCCTCGGCGGAGGGCTTCTTCTCCACCTTGGGCGTCTCTTCTCCCGGAAGGCCGTGATCTGTTCGAGCCTCTGGGGGCCCTCCGGAGGCCAAAAGAGCCTGTCAAAATCGGCTTCGGGCCCTGCTGGGACCCCGACGCCGTGATTTGTTCGTCGCCTCTGATCGGTGTGAGGATCCCCATGGCCGTCGTCGTCGAACAGATCGCCAGGGAGGCATGGTCGAGGGTCGTGCAAGGGGCCCGGCGGGTTGATCGAACGGGTGGGGGTCGTCGTCGCTGTCGTCGTCGCCGTCGTCGTCGTCGTCGTAGTCGTCGTCGTCGTCGTCGTCGTCGTCGTCGTCGTCGTCGTCGTCGTCGTCGTCGTCGTCGTCGTCGTTGCCGTCGTGGTCGTCGCATTCGCGTCGGCGCAAAAGCGGTCAGAGTCCACTTAGTGCCCCCCTGGCGCATCGCGCACTGGTCGCATCGGGGTCTTGGAGGTGAGTCACGGGGAAGGGGGGGATGAGGGTCCTCCTCCGTCTCCTCCTCCTTCTCCTCCTGCTCCTCCTCCTCCTCCTCCTGCTGCTCCTCCTCCTCCTTCCCCTTCCCCATCCCCTCCTCCTCCCGCTCCTCCTCCTCCTCCTCCTCCTCCTCCTCCTCCTCCTCCTCCTCCTCCCTGCTCCTCCTCCTCCTCCTCCTCCTCCTCCTCCTCCTCCTCCTCCTCCTCCTCCTCCTCCCTCCTCCTCCCCATCCCCCTATCCCTCCTACCTCCCCTGCTCGTCCGCCTCCTCCCTCCTCCTCCTCCTCCTCCTCCTCCTCCTCCTCCTCCTCCTCCGCCCCTTCCTCCTCCTCCTCCCTCCTTCCTCCTCCTCCTCCCTCCTCCTCCATCTCCTCCTCCGCCTCCTCCTCCCCCCTCCCCTGCTCCTCCTCATCCCCCTCCCCATCTCCTCTTCCTCCCCCTCCTCCTCATCCTCCTCCTCCTCCTCCTCCTCCTCCTCCTCCTCCTCCTCCTCCTCTCTCTCCTCCCTCCTCCTCCTCATCCTCATCCTCCTCCACCTCCTCCTCCTCCTCCTCCTCCTCCTCCTCCTCCTCCTCCTCCTCCTCCTGCCGCTCCTCCTCCTCATCCTCCTCCTCCTCCTCCTCCTCCTCCTCCCCTCCTCCTCCTCCTCCTCCTCCTCCCTCCCCCCTTCCCCCACTTCCTCTCCTCCTCCTCCTCCTCCTCCTCCTCCTCCTCCTCCTCCTCCTCCTCCTCCTCCTCCTCCTCCTCCTCCTCCCTCCTCCTCCTCCTCCTCCTCCTCCTCCTCCTCCCCCTCCTCCTCCTCCCTCCTCCTCCTCCTCCTCCTCCTCCCCCCCCTCCCCCATCCCCCACCCTCTCGTCTGGAGGCAGCGTCTCTTCCCGTTGAGCATTGAATCGTCCGAGGGCCACCGTGGCTGGCACCACCGGGCTCCTCTTAGAGGCGGGGGGCCCTGTCGGGAGGGCGAGGGGCTTCACTAGGTGTCCCGGGGCAGCAGGACTGCTAGCGGTCCCCTGCTTGGTGCCGCGCTCCGCGACCCTCCTCCTCCTCCTCCTCCTCCTCCTCCTCCTCCTCCTCCTCCTCCTCCTCCTGCTCCTCCTCCTCATCCTCCGCCTCCGCCTCCGCTTTTTCTTCTTCCCCCCTTCTCGTTCGCCTCCTCCCTCCCCCCTCCCCCTCCTCCCCCATTCCCCCTTCTCCTTCTGCTCCTCCCCCAGAGCACATGAGGATCCAGTACATGTGGGTTTGAGCAGACTGAACGAAGTCCCGGTGTGTTCGGGCCTCCTGGGTTCTCTCTCTGCCCCCCCCGTCCCTTACTCCTGGGGTCCAGATTGCGGAAGTTCCGAGGATTCGGAGCATCGGTTCCCCAAGCGGCCTTCAGAGTGAGAGGTCTTGCCCCTCGAAGGTGCGTTCGCTGCCAGACCTCCTTCTGCGTGTGGCGGCTTCCAAGCCCCAGGGGGGGTTCTGTAGAAAAGAATCATACACCTCCCAGACCCCAAGACGGCCCAAAAGAGCCCCCAAAGGACCCCCAGGCAGGCCCGGAAATGCAATATTCATTGATTTTCGCAAGGTTCGTTGCTAGATTTCTGTATGTCGTACCGAAACCTTACCACCAGCAGGGCTCCAAAACACCAAGCCAGCGACATCGTGCCCTCACAAAATAAACGCGCTTTCCGTACCCATGCCAAGAAGGTCGAGTGGCCTTCGGCCAATTCTGCCATTGTGCATGCAGGCACAGTGGCGGAATTGGGAAGAGGGGGGTTAGGGGTTCAGAGGCCTCTCGGATGCCCGTCGGGGTCTCTTGGAAGCGTCTGCGCAGCCTTTGGAGGCAGTTCCGAGGCCTCTTGGGGGCCGTTTTGGAATTTGGGGGCCTCCTTTAGGCTTCCTGGGGGCCTCTTGGGGGCCTCTGGGGAGCATCTTGGGGACTCCTGGGGGCCTCTTGGGGCGGAGGGCTCGACATGTCGATTCCTGTCCCCCCTATTTTTTCGCCCTCTTGGGCTGCCTCGGACGCCTCTTGGGCCTTCTTAGGGCTGTCTTGAGCCGTTTGGGGGCGCTCTTCGGGCCCGTCTTGGGGCGCTCTGGCGGGCCTCTTGGGCCGTCCTGGCCCGATCTTGGAGGAGGCTTCCGGGGTCATCTTGGAGCGTCGGAAGCACGAAACGGGGGGAACGCAAAACACCCTCGGACGACACCTTTTTGTTGTTGTTGAGAGTGACGCTCTTTTGGCTCCTCGGGGCCCTCTTGGTCGTGCTCTTTGAGACTCTCTCGGGGCCTCCTCCCTGGGACCCGCTGCGCGCCCCGAGGCGTCTCTTGGACGGCCCCTCCGCCTCACGAGGACCCTGAGAAGCAGGACAGACATCGCCGTCCTGTTATGTTCGTGTTTCGAGGGGGGTCTGGGTACTCCTGCTCCTCCTCCTCCTCCTCCTCCTCCTCCTCCTCCTCCTCCTCCTCCTCCTCCTCCTCCTACTCCTATCCTTATTCCTTATTAGAATATACTCCTACTCCCCCCTCAGGCCGGCCGATAGGGGCCGCATCCGGGTGGTCCCATCCTAACCTGTAAAAAACAATACAAAATCAACATTTTTCTTATTTTTTCCTCTCGACATGGACGTCCTGTCGTCCACGGCGATAATCCATTGCAAAAATACCACAAAGAGCACACGCGCGCGTTCATGTCAGAATCCTACCGAACACCGTGTGTTTGCAAGCATTTCAACATAAAAACATCAAAAACCCAATGTTTTTTCACAAAAATTGTACAAATTTCCCGCCCGGGCTCTCTTGCTGAAATCATAGGAAAACCATAGGAATCTTAAGAATTCGGTCAAATCCAGCGATTTCACGTCATCGCGCGGTGCACTCGCGATGCTCTGTCATGCACCCAGGCCGCGAATCCTGTGCAAAAAATACCACAAAGAGCACACTCGCGCGTTCATGTCAGAATCCTACCGAACACCGTGTGTTTGCAAGCGCTTCAACATAAAAACATAAAAAACCCAATGCTTTTTCACAAAAATGCTTTGGGGTGTCCTGTCAGACCGTCGGGCTTCCTCCGGCCACCTCTGGCTTCCTGCGGTGTACCAGGCCATTCTCGACTCGTCTGGCAATGCGTGCGCGGCATTCAACACGCGCTCGCCAGTTCCCGTCGGCAACCGCCATCGCGGCCGCATCAGCTGTACCAAACCGGCTGGCCGGTGTGACTTCGGCCCCCAGTTGTGCCAGCTTTGCTTCTTTTGTTGTGGGAGGGCGGGTGGGACTGGGCATGCCATGCTTGACTCGCTCGAGCTGGCTAGCTTGACTCCTACTCCTACTCCTACTCCTCCTCCTCCCTTCGGGGATTCCAGTGGTCCCGTTGACCTCCTCCTCCTCCTCCTCCTCCTCCTCCTCCTCCTCCTCCTCCTCCTCCTCTTCCTCCTCTTTGTCCTCCTCCTCCTCCTCCTCCTCCTCCCTCACTTCCTCCTCCTCCTCCCCAGACCCCTCCCGAACATGAAGAAATCAGGACGGCCGATGTTTCACTACCGTCGGCCTCTGGGGGCCCTCGCTGGGCCTCGGGCCACCAACCAGATTTCCAGAAGGAAAAAAACCGGTCTGGGGGGAGGAGGAGGAGGAGGAGGAGGAGGAGGAGGAGGAGGAGGAGGCGGAGGAGGAGGAGGAGGAGGAGGAGGAGGAGGAGGAGGAGGAGGAGGAGGAGGGGGAGGAGGAGGAGGAGGAGGATCGAGACCTCTGGGGGTCGACGTCTGTGAAAAAGTCCTGACGTCGGGGGTCTGGGAACACAGCCAGCCCGCACAGTACGTAAGGAGGAGCGACTTTCCAGGGCGACCCTTGCATCCTTCCCCTTCGGCCCATCATTGGCCGCTTGCGCTGGCCCCGCCCCGCTCGCAGAGTGTCGGCATGGTCTTCCAAGGCCCTTGCAGCCTCACCCATTGGTCGTTGAAAGTAGGTATTTTAAGATGCCCAGGTCCCAATCTGTTGTAGGCGCATTCCTACTTCAATCAACGAGCGGTTTTGCCTCTTCCCTCTTCAGGGGGCGGGCGGAAGCCCAATCTACTTCAATGCCTTCCTACTTCATGGTTCTACCTACTTCTTCCGAGCGATGGGTATCGTGCGTGCTGATTATACGCGTTGGCTGTGCACAGTTCGGAGGAGCGGTTTTCCAGTGTTACCCCTGCATCCACCCCCTTCGGCCCATCCTTGGCCGCTTTCGCTGGCCGCGCCCCGCTCGCAGAGTGTTGGCATGGCCATCCAAGGCCCATCCTCGGTCCTCTTCGGTCGTCTTGGGTCCATCCTCAACCACTTTCGACGGCCAGCCCCGCTCGAAGGTTCTCAACATGGGCGTCCGAGGCCCCTGCATCCTTGTCGCGCGTCCTTGGTGCTTGGTGTACGGGTTGACCGTGTGCAGATATGGTCCAGCCGCTCCACGGCGACGCACCTCGCCATGTGGGTGCCCTCTCCTCCCCTCCCCTCATCTCTCGCGGCCGCTCTCGCCTGTCTTCGCGCGGCGGCTCTTCGCGCCCTCGCGTGGCGCCCCAGACATGATCGCGTCGTGAAACATCAGGACGGGAGGCTTTTGGCAAGTTTCGGCCTCGGGGGGCCCTCGCCGGGCCTCGGGACCGGAAAAAAAACGATTCAGGATGAAAAACCGGTCCCAGGGAACGCCCTGACTCCAGATCCGCCCTACTTTGTTTTTTTTTTCCAACTTCAAATTGCGTCGGAAATCCACCTATAAGAAGCCGAAAAAGTAGGGCGGACATTTCTGCACCTAACATAAAATAGGGCGGAAATCCACAGAAGTGAGGCAGAAACAGCAAGAGAACAGTAGGGCGGAAATTGGCATCAGCGGGGCTTGAAAAGCAAGGCGGAAATTCCAAGCCCTACTTACGAATTTTCCCAAAGTAGGGCGGATCCTGAGTCAGGGCGGGATCGGGACTTCCAGGGACCCCGCCCTGAAAAAGTTCGGGCGATCGCACACATGGATTAAAAGGGGGCGTGGATTGGCGACGGTTTTTTTTTGAGCTCAACGCCCGCACAGCCCTGGTGAAAAAGGACACAGCAGCGGCGGCTGGGAAACCACTGCTGGCAGTGAGGGGGGCCTCACTGACCGAAAGAGTACCTCCAGCAGCCCCATGGGCTGGGAGGCACTGGCCACACGACGGGCGACCGCCCCGTGGCCAGAGCAAGAGAAAAACAGTCCAGTGCCTCAGCAGGGCATACGGTCGGGGAGGGCAGATCCTCCCCCGTGCCTGCCGCGCAACCTGCCGCTCCCAGGGGACATCGCGGGTTTCCGCCGCCGGACGGGGCGGCACCGGCCGCATTTTTGGGGAGGGCACCTCCCCCGATCCATGGATTTGGCGACCGCGCGCTGGATCCATGGATCGCTAATCCACGTTTGCGCGCCCCCAGAGAGAGAGGGGAGGAAGGACACTCAAGACCAAGACCCCCAGCTCAAGACCCCCAGCCGTCTTCGGGCAAAGAGTAGCAATGACACGCTGCCGTTGGGGGGCCCATCTGCGTATTACTCCTTCGTTCTTGTTCGAAGACTCGGTATGTTTCAGCAGTCACCACGGCAGCGTGCTAGTGATGCTGTTTTTGCTTCCCCAGCTGGCGCTCGTTTCCAGGCGTGGTGGCGTGGGGGTGCGAGGATGGCCATCCCTTCGCGCTCTCGCGTGGCGCGGAGCGCGGATGTCAGTGTCCAAGGGCCTGCCCCCCCCCCCCCGAAGGTCTGGGGGAGGCGACGGCTTCCAGACCCTGCAGGGGCACAGAGGCGCCCCTGGAGGCCTCCAGAAGGCTTCTGGAGGCCTCGCGCGCAGGGGCCAAGAGTGCCCAAGGGGCTTCGATCCCCGATCCTGCGACGTCCAGGATCGAGGGTCGACGCTGCCTGTGGCCCGTCGCGGGAGGTCCGCGGAGGGCCGCCGACGCCCGCCGAGGGCCTCCGCAGCCCCCCAAGGCACGGCGGCGGCACGACGGTGGCGACGGCCAGGGCGACGGCCGCGGCAACGGCCACCGCCACGGCCGCGGCGACGGCCGCGGCAACGGCAACGGCCACGGCGGCGGCCACGGGCACGGCGGCGGCCGTGGGCACGGCGGCGGCCACAACGGCGGCCACAACGGCGGCCACAACGGCGGCGGCGGCGGCGGCGACAGCGGCGATGGCGAGCATGGAGCCCCAGGACCTCGTCGCGCCTGAGCGCGGGCAGCGGGGTCGGAGAGAGCCGGCGTGCGGCGCTCTCGGTGCAGCTGCTGGCGCCGGGCGAGGAGGCCGCGTGACCTGGGCCGGGCAGGCG